CAAAAATGACCCTCAACCCAAACCCAATTGGAAGGGGTTTAATATTCCCACTGTCATATCCTTTAACACAAAACTCAACCCAGCATACATCTTCCTCAATCATCTCCCTCTCTATCGTTTGTTTCTCCATTGTCGAAATAAAATTGGTACTATAAAATGTAATATGAAAAATTTTATAGTTAAGAGTATAAACTAAAACAAAGGTAATAGTTTGAAGGGATAAACTGTAATTTCACAAAACTGAACCCAGCATACATCTTCCCCAACCCAATCATCGCTCTCTCGTTCGTTTGATTCTCCATCGTCAACACCATGAAGCTCTCCTTTTCTCTGTCTTCAAAACCTCTACCCCTCAAACGTTCGCAAACTGACGCCAAAGACCAAGAGGATCTCTCATCCACCACGAAACAATACATCGCAGAATTCAATTCCTTAGAAAACCTAAAAATTTCAGAATTCAAAAAGCTGATTATTCCCCCAATAGCCAACGAATGGAGGCCTCGCAAGAAGATGAAAGACCTCGATCTTCCGTCCCAATCCGCCCGTCCAGATAACCTCGATTTTGAACAAGACCCAACTACCTCCTCTGTCGAGACCGATTCCTCCATATCAAAAGAAAAACAAATGCAATACATACATACCATCAATTCATCACTGCCTTCACTTCAACAAAGATTTCTACTGCACAGCTGTAATTTCACATAAAGAAGAATACTTTCGACTAAATCAGATTCATTTTCATAATGTATCGCAATTAGTGCTGCTCCATCAAATCCCCAAGATAGCAGTTGCACGAACATGTTACAAATAGCACTGCTGATAAGATGCCATTGCTTGGCAGGTTGATAGGAAACAAACACGAGGTATTGCAAAAGTAACGTGCTCGGATATGTGCTAGCAAGCAACATAAGTAGGTAAAAGCACCACATAGGAATGATACCTCAGCTTCTTGTAATCTGGCTGCTGCGATTACTCGTGGAAGGTAGGAAAACAAACCGAGACTAATGCTGATCATTAAACACCTTTCATCTTCCTCATTTACAAGACCTTTTTATGTACAGTGCAAATGATGATGGCTAAACAGGGACCGACCCCAGCTAACTTTTCAGTGAGAGAATGAACTCGCCTCAGTGCTATATAATGAGTACTCACTCATGCTGAAGTTGGGTCTCTTTGTGCTGTTATGTTTTGTTATATTTTAAATTGTGCTAGGTGCTTCATTGATTTTGATGTCCTCTTTTCTTTCGATCAATAACAAGGAAGTGTATCAATGAAATAAAATACACGCGGGGGTAAGAACTGGCCCAAGAAAGAAAGAGTATAAAAGACATGAGAATTCAAATTGCACATCACATAGATTTCTAATATAGCCTTATCAAGAATAATAGGATACCCAAAAACTCGAGAGACTCCGAACCCATCGAGCACCAGTACCTCCATAACTACCACGAAAACTATATTATGACTGTTGCAAAGATGTAACCATCATACAGTCATATCCTACTCTCATTCATTTGTGGCCTCATTTTTCATAACTCTATTTATATTAATTCTGGAGTCGCAAATACAACTAAATACCAACTTTGTAATTGTTGGAAAAACCACATAAAGTGATTAAGTTTTAGAACAATCTCTCATTAAGTGAAATCAACTGTTCAAAAACAAATCCCTAAACCACCCGCTGCTAAAGTGAGAGACCATGAACTGCTTTGATAATATACAGTTAGTTTTCATTCCATGTCCTAATCCGCTCTCATCATGACATTCATTGTGACTAAGCTAAGAATTGTACCACAATTGGTCATAACACAACCATTTTGCACTTGGATCTACTTTTAGGTTGAATGGTGTCAAGTAGAGATGACAATGCTTGCACTGAAGATTAGAACCCAAGATATCTCAGAAGGATAAATGTCATCATTTTCTCAATTCTGGTTTCATGCCATGATTTTCTTTCTCTTGTTCGGCTTGTGGATGGGACCCAATCTTTATCAGAATAGAAAATAGTTTGAACTTTTTCAGCTTATTATGAATTTTTCTTTTTGTAGATTTTGTGGTATGTTCTCTGAAAATACGGAGATCAACTACATTGAGAAATTTATTTTGGCTTGTAAAGATCTTTTCTAACAAAATCTCGCATCCAGATGCATTGAATGATGTTTGGACTATGCATCGACCTTCCCATCCTTAAACACAACTTTTACACTTGCAGGTTTGGACGGTTGTGGTTTGATCATCATTTATTTCAGAGTAGTTTTAAAAATTACTGGCAAGAAAGTTGTGTTTAAGGATGGGAAGGTCACAGGTTTATGGAGAAATAGGAGTTTTTTAAACCAAATTTGAAAGTTAATTTTACTAAGGTGATACTTTTAAGCAAACTTGCAGGTGGGAATGTTTTGTTTCATTTTCCGTTACTTATCAGTTTGATTAATTTTCAAAGTTTTTGTTAGGAATAAATAGTTGTTTAATATTGGTTGTCGAAGGAACATATCTGTTTGTAAAGAGGATTTAGTGCACATAGGGTTGGTTTCTGTTTTCTGTTTTCTGTAGTGGCTGTGTTTGTGTTTATGTTGTATTTTTTATTTGGCATTTGATTGGCAATCTGCATGGAGGGAAGAAAGAGGAGTTACCATTGGAACTGGAGGTATCCAGGCAGGGCATTGCAGCAGACTGGATTGTGCCCATATGCAGCTTATCTGATTGGGGATTGGGTTTGGTTGGTCACAACTCTTTGGTAGTTGGTATATGCAAGAAATTTCTCTGATATGCTTTTATGTTCCTAATAATGAAGAAAATGCATAGGTAATCATTTTTTTGTTGCAGATGATGCTTAATTTTTCATTTCAATGTATGAATTTTCAAAGTAAAGATATAGAAAGATTGGTTAAATCCAGGAAGAGGGCTGACAAAGCAGATTCAGAAACTTAATCTACTTGGTATACATAACTCAGGCCATGGTTCTTTTTTGTAATTTTTTTTTTTTTGGTTTTTAGTTACATTTTATTCTTGATGTTCATAGAGTTCAATAGAGCAACTGAAAATAAAGCTTAGGCAACTCTTAATTTTGCTGCTTGTGCTATGTTAAAACTAAGGTTACAACCTATTATTTTGCTAAAATTGTACCTGCCATGGAGATTTACATTTATGAAAGCTATAATGATGATAAAGATTTGATTCCTGATGAGAGTTGTGTGGGTAAGAGTGATGTGAGTGGTTGTATTTATCTGAAGCACCAATTTCATTGGCAAGGCCTTCAGCAGGATATGTGCTCTTATAAACATCCCTTTGGTTTCATTTTTCTTCAACTATGACTAACTAGTGCTTAGTAGGCAGAATAGCATTCTTAATTTAGTTGTAATTCTTGCTAATTTCGCAATGCAAGCTTCATCATGGCTCTTTTATTCTGCTCTTGTCCGTACTACATGTACTGTACTCGAAGAATTAGGTGTGGTAAAATAGGCCGCCTATTCTAGGTCCAAAAGTGCTAGTATTCAAAATGTGTTTCAGGTGAGCTATGTGAAAAAAATTACCTTTTTTTCACAATTTATAAATACATGGTTTCCTATTTATGGGCACTTGATATTCAATTTCCAGAATTATGTTGTCATTTCAATATGAACTTGACTAATGTAAAATCATAGTCCCCATAGTTTTGATACAAAGGCAAGTTGCAATAGTTTTCTCTATATAAACTTTTAAGTTTGTGTATCGTTGTTATATGTGCAACAGGTGGTTTGTGAAATTGGTATCAAGGTTTCAATGAAACTCGTGTTTGTGATGTGGGTATATTTTTTTATTTTGAAATTCTATAGAGTGCAAATCAGGGATGAGGGATTTCAAAATTGTTTAGAGGATAAAGTGTCATCAGTCTTTTTCTGTTCCACAATAAAGTATTTTGCACAGGAACAAGCGAAACATATTCCAACTTGTGGCATAGTATTGCAATGATTCTAATCAACTTTACAAGATAAAAACATGAAAGTACAACACTCATATGTATTTACATTGCTTGTGAATATTACAATTTAGAAACTCAGAAATTTCTTCTCTTTCAAGCTTTCTACGGTGTCCTTAAGGCTCACCTCAAGAGGAACGAAATCAATGCCCAAACTTTTTGCCCTTTCCTTGGATACCTGGTATGGTGGGACAACAAGCTTTTCATCTGTATATCTGCCATGAATAAAACACAAAGTTCTATTAAGATTCCTTTGGTTGTGAGAAATTTTATACCTCAAATGACCTCGGGATGATAGATCATTCAATTACCACAACAAACTTAGAAGCTTAAATTGTAACTACAAAAATGAAATAGTTCAAAAAATTCCATTTCCAGTAGCCCTAGAAGTAAATGGATCTTTGGAATTCTAAGCATGAAATTACTCTCTACCTCTTCTTCAACATAATACAGAGAAATCGAAAAAAGAAACAAATTTGACGGTGTTTGGATTCTAATTCTAACTTGGCCTAATACACTGTCCTTAAGTAGCCAATCTTTCCATTGATTTCCTACTCGAGAAAATAGCTTGAAAAGACAACTTTCTAGCTTGATTCTAACCTAAACACAAAATTAATGGAAATTCTTGATAGAATCGCTATATATCAAACTTAATTCTCTTGATCAAATGTCATTCTATAGATCATCAAACTACTTCCATCCATTGTGGAACTCTTTGATCCACCTCACATTTTGTACAAGGTTAACACAATCCAATCTTGTCTTTCCATTCCCTGAAAGAGCAATTTTCGTGACAATGATGGAGAACATGCATTAGCTTACACCCGTGACCGACTATTTAGTATGATATTATTTAGAGCTAAATTTTATTAGGAGAAAGAAAGAGATTAGAACACAATTAAACATGGGAAATTTAACATGATGCACATTTTGTTGAATGTGTCCAAATTCAATTATTTAAATTAGTTGCTTAGTCATAGCATTAAGGACGTTTCAAATACTAAATACTTACTTTTCTGGAAGGTTGAGAGTAGGATAAAGCTTGTGTAATATCTTTTGCATTTCGGAATAGTATGTTACTGTCTCAACCAAACAGTATCTGCCATTAGCGGAAGGAATCTCAAATGCTTGAATATGTCCATATGCAACATCTCGAACATCAACACATAAAAAGATTCCACTCGATTGTCTTTCCTTCCCTGCATCATATAAAGCTTAATTGCTTGTATCAAAAGAATCACATTTACAACATTACAAAAAAAAATACAAAGAACTTGTTTGTGCCCATTACGACAAATAACACCTTGGAGGCGTGGATTGAATGTAGACCTAACTTTGGACACTATTTGCAAAAGTGACTGCCCTCATATTCGAACCCACAATCCCAAAATTATTGGGCATTTTCTTGGAACTAAGGAAGGGTTTTTTCTGTTACTTGAAGATAGATAAGCAACTAGAATGATACATTTGGCCCATTTCATTTGAGTAAAGATCATTTGAATATCATGTTTAATCTTTGATAACTATTAAATCAATGTAAATTGTTCTCTAACAAAATCTCCATAACCATATAGCAATTAGGGGCTTGATTTTTAAAGGGTTGATCATTCCTTCCCAGGATATTACAACAATTGAAATGAATTATATAATACAATTCATGTAGAAAGATACTATCATACTCATAACACACAATTTGTTAATAGAAAAGCATACCATGATTTATGAAGTCTACAATCCCCTCAGAAGTGCTATTGAGAATCGGCTGTAAGAGAGGACCAATCACATAATCTGGATGTATCGTCACCAAGTCAATCCCGCTCTGTTTTGCAAATTTCCATGCAGCTTCTTCGGCCAGTGTTTTTGAAAGCATGTACCACAGCTAAGGCATACACCAAAGTTTCATTAGCACCTAAGGAAGGGTGTTAAAGAAAGTTATCTTATCTCCAACTATTTTGTTGAACAAAAACACAAAAAGCTACAACATAAGCTTCGCAGTCCTTGCATGTCCAGATTCTCAAAAATTTCAGAAAGAAAACTAGCCTTTACCTTTTCCCCATCTATATGCTAAAATAACTAAAACTTGAAGATCTATCTTAGGTCTTTTTCTAAAAAGAACCATCTCAATGGACTTTGTACGACATTAAAAGATGCAGTCAAATGCTTTTTATTTTCCAATAAGCAATGATTCCATTAACCGAAAGAGATTACATGTATACCCATTGTTTAGCAAGCAAATACAAACAACAGAAAACCATGCAAAACCACAGAGCACAGGATAATAGATCTTCTACATAGTTCTCATAAAAGACATGCAAGAAGCATTCAAATATTGATAATTGTTGCTCATGCAAAAAATCCTTAATGTGAATAAACTATTTGTACAAACATGGCAACAAAAGAGAGAAATACAAGAGAGTCCTGGGGAAAGTTTATGGATGTTGCCAAGCACTTTATCACATAATAACTTAAATATCGAAGGTATTAGCACATCACAAACCTTTGATTCCTGACAAAATACTGGATCGGAGAACCAACTCTCATCAATTACAACATCCGGGTTTAAAGGTTTTCTGTTGAATCTAACCGAAGCCATGGAAGATGTTACTACCACCCTTTTGATAGATGAAACTTTCGCACAGGATGTGAGAACATTAAGTGTTCCCTTCACAGCAGGGTCAATTAATTCTGCCTGAAACATGGTAAATAAATGATAAACAGCCCTTTCTGTATATAGTTTACCAAGGAAGTGAATAAACAGCCAATAGCATTACACCAATGTGTGCACAAAATAGCATCAAGGCAGCACATAGAAAATAAATTCCTTGCATATACCAAGCTGTATTGATGTTGATTACTTTAATTCTCCATTTTTGATGAAAAGCGAGTAGCGTAAGATGCTCTTTTTAAATGTATAGCACAATTCATAAGAGTTTTGGTTGTAACAAATCTCATGAAATTCAAGAAGCTGCAAAAATGCTGAGAACCTCTTACATTTCTATCATTCCTTTTAGGCCATCAAAAGTAACCAAATTATCAAACACCCTTGCTTGCTTGTCCACAGGTCGTCTTTGGCTAATCTTCTGCCGCAAGATCATACCTACGTATATGGGAGTTATTTTCTAGCCAGATTAAGACAGTAGAATCTCCATTGCTTTGACAAATAAATGAGTTTTACATTACTCTTCATGTTTCTATTCTCTTAGCTTTCAGCGTAACTTATTTGAAGGTATAGTCTTTATAACCTTTCTATTTTATAGCTGAGGTTTACTTCTTGATCTTGGCACATACATATCAACTCTTCACTCCGTTATTTCAATCCCTTTGTTGAACGTGAGATGACCAAAAAAGTTCCAAGTGATAACAAGAACAGCAAGCATGCAAGAAATGACCAGAAGATGGCTAACACTACATAAACTACAATACAGTTCTCAGGTATGGGTCTGAACCTAGGGAGAGTATTAACATGAAACTAATGATGTCACGATGGTTGTAGTGTCAAGATGCCTATTTGTTCAAATTCCTTTTGCTCAACAAAAACTATGATTTCTAACTTATTTCTTAACCTATCATTGTTAATATAAAAGCATGGTTTACGATTGCCAACATACAAGCGTATTTGTAGAACACACTTTCAAATGAGAAATAGAACAGTGTCTTGTCATACAAATTTGACAATGATATAAATTAAAACCACACTTTCATATAAATTACAAAGGATAAAGAAATCACGCTTTCATATAAACTATGACTGGTTGAGATCCTGAGAAATAAGTTAGAAATCACAGTGTTTGAATAAAAAAGTTCGAAAGTCAACAAAAGAATTTATTCCCCTTAAGTGTTTATACAGATGACGGCTACTATACGAAAAATCACAATATGAATGTTGAAGTTCGATCATGGACCTGGGGGTCAGTGACAGTGGCTGAATGGATAACAGGAGAGGCTGTGTGGAAGACACCTTCACAACCATCAACCACAACATCAAAAGATCCCTCTCCAAGTAAGTTTGCTTCAAACAAATGCAGTCTTTCCTTGGCCCCATCAAGTCCAAGCAGATGTGCAGTCCTCTTCGGATCACCTGTGATACATATAAACAGAAACAAAGACAATTAGACTAAAGAATGTGTGAAAGGAATTAGAACTTTGCTAACGAGAACTTTACTGTTTGTTTAGTAAAACAACAACAATAGATTTGGTAAAAGTAGAATTGCACTTGAGGAAAATAAAATTACTGTCCATGCATTAACTATTAGAGGCTGTTTGATTGGTTTTTTGGGAGAGGTTTGAATTAGCTTGTCCAAATCCTTCCAAACTCAAAGATGAGATTCAAAAATGGGATTCAACATTCAATATTGTTCATGCCCATGTTTGGTATGTGCACGGATATATGACTATTATGATAATATATTTGTATATAAATGACTATTGTGCCTCTTGACCAATTTAATCCAAACTCATGTTTGTTTATGTACATGGGATATATGAGAGTATAAATATCATTTGCATGTTCAACACTTTAACCCACATATGAACCCCCCAAACCAGGTTTCATAAATCCCATGAACTTAAGTTTCATTTCCGAGCCTAAAGCGGGCTGGGTTTCAAACCCCCAAACTCACATACCAAATAGGCCCTTAGTGTTCAGGCCTTAGTATTATCTAAGAGTTGTGGTCCCTAGACAATTTTAACACGATACAATATTCGCAAGTTAAGATTGAGTAGTTCTTAATACGAATTTTAATATGACATGACCGGGTGGTAAGAATGATGAAAGGTCAAATTAGTATCAAATGTTAATAACTCAAACAAGCCATGATAAACAAGTATTCAGATAATCATATCCTTTCATGTGCCTTTCTTTCCAACTCGATAAACTCAATCCTTTCATCTGTATTTTTCTCAATTCTCAAAAGAATTAAAAATTAAAACATCTGATGGGACTTTTCTGAAATACTCCATGATGAAGACACGTGTCCTCAGTATTTACCAAAACACTGTTGCTAAGATCAAGCACCATTGGCGCATAAAGGTCCTCGCCTCCGAGGTACTCGTCATATAGGATCATGGCATTCAGTACGAGTTACAACCAACACGTAGCCTCGGTCTGATATGGTACCTCGGTCGGTATACCTCCCTCGGTTCTGAGATGAGCCTTTCCTCGGTGCCGAGAGGTACCCCGTCCTGGACGCTTCCTCTACTCCAGGATAAGCTATTGACGTACAGGTCATTAGCCTAGGCTAGTCTAGGCTATTCATCATGATCTCGTCTTACACAATTAGTGTCAGAACGTACTGGAATGCAGGGGCCACAGCCAATGGGGGATGGACGCGTGGCATATAATGTCACATCAAAGACAGAAAAATCGCATGCCGTTGCTGACACGCGACTTGGGAAAGCAAACGATTAATTACACCATTCCCTTGACGAGACTGCATTCAATGCGGTAAGGCTCGGAAATGAAAGGCAATAAATGTTCCTAATACAGAGCATTTATTGCATCCTCTCCGAGAGGAGTTCATTGTACCGTCGGCATCCCGATGACGCAGCATTGATTGCTCGGGACCCCGAACAGTTAAGAAGAGAAGACATTCCTCATCAGAATCAGTGCGCACACTGCCTGTACCTAATGATCACCTACTGACTACACTGACAGCAATCATGAGCTTTTGAGGTATAAATACTCCTTGCAAAAGGCAAGACGGGTATGCAACAAAAAACTCTTTACTACAATACACACTCAGTGTTTTCTTCTTCCTCTCTCTCTCTCTAAAAGACTGACTAGATCGTCGGAGGGGATACGCCGAAAAACACTCCGGCGCCCTTCTAACTTGTTCTTCTTTGTTCCAGGAACCCCTTTCAGCCTTACTAGATCGTTCTTCCGCTCCCCCAGGGTCTCCCGTTGCCGTTCCAGGTTACCACCGGACCTCGCAGGCTGTTCCAAGCAACGTGGTTGGTCACTCAACTGGCTCACTCGAGTTCACCAAGGGAGAGATCTGTTCTCGTTTTTTATATTGTGCAGGATCTTGCACGCACAATCTGGCGCCGTCTGTGAGAAACGACTAGTTTTCCTAGTTTTTTCTCTATAAAGAACAGTGACCATGATGAACACTCGACAGAAAGGGAAAGGCCCTCACCAAAGGAGTCTCGAGTTACAAGCTCCCTGTCATCACGGAGGGAGGGATCACACCGATATGAATAA